CGCCAACATGATCAAGGACGAGCTGTCGCTGAATGGCATGATGTCCACAACGTCGGACAGATTCTGGCGAGCCATTTCGGTCGCCGGAGGCGGTCACCCCTACTCTATGAAGTCTGGAACCTCTTTGGTCCACGCTGTCATGGAAAAGTATTTGTTCAGAGAAAAGATGCTCGCTTCTTGCTTTATGGCACCGGATCCCTTGACCGAAGCGAATAGCCTCCATGATCCCAACTTGGAACACGTGTTGCAGGACAAAGAGAGGTTGTATCGGTACTTGTTCGGAGAGTCCGTGAGAGGAAGCCATGCTTATCAATCCACTGCGGAGCCTTCAGGTGAGAATGAGTCTGAAAGGAGGAAGAGGGAGAAGGTAAGGAGAGAGAATAAGATGCCATGGATGGATGAGTACTGGGGAGTCCTTCAGCCAGAACCAATATACTCAAGGACTCAAAGGTGGTATGTCATTGATGACTTTAAGGAGGGTGAGGAGATTTGCTGCGACTACTGTCTGGTATGCAATCCCATAGACTCCGAGTTGAAAGACGATTGCTATGCGGAATGCATCAACGGAGCAGCAAACAGATGCCGTGGGATGTCCGCAGAAGACTATGTCCAGAAGCGATTTCATGCATGTGCACGGTTGCTTCACAACTTCGGCATGGGGCAGACGGTATCTTCTCCCACCATCGCAATCTCGGAGATGAACCCGCACGATGACTTGATGAAGTTTTTATACGAGGCGATGATCATCTTCAATGAGAATCCAGGTTTCCAGAAGGAGATTTCGTTCTTCGGGGGGATCAGGTTGTCATCAACAATGACGGAGAACTTCTTCAAAACGAGGAGAGGACCCAGCATCCATGTGGAAAAGCAGATAATCGGCAACGCCAAGTACTACCAGGGATCCTATGACCTTGGCAACGTATGCTACACCAAATACCTCAAGACCATACTGGAACCCGATGTATTCCGCACTATATTCGGAAATGATCCCACGGAGGAACGGGTAGGTGACATGGTGGAAGCGTTGCTGGGCATGTTCGAAATTGCTCAACTCTTCAGGCACCTGTTCAGGGGATGGGGTGACATCGAAGCTTTGAGGACGGGATTAGAGGAATCCATCAAACGAGTCACTGCATCGCTATACGACAGGACAACGTATGAGAACCGAAAGCGATCGATGATCAGAACCATGGACCCGCACTCTGATGAGGCGGCAAACGTGGCGCTGATTCTCGTTCGCATGAGGACTATGCCGCCTCCTGAATTCGACATCGACCACTTCTTCGAGATTGGAAAGGAGCCAGAGCAGGGACCAGAAGCCACTGGCGAGCCCGAGGCCGAAGGTGCCGATATGGAGACCGATGGTGTCGATATGGAGACTGATGGCACACAGGAGAAGGAGGAGCAAGATGTTGACATGTCCGACCCGAAAGCATCAATACTGCACGCCATCGACGAATTTGAGAAGAAGATAGGGCGGGCAGAATTCTGCATACACTGCATGGAATCGGGGCACACCACTCTCAATTGCAAGAAGACCCTCTCATCCTCACCTACGGTCACCTCGGTGTTGAGTGATTGGAAGAAGAGAGTGAAGGGAGAGGTTGCACCCGATGATGTACCATCAGGACATCCAACCGAGCAGCCTAAGAAGAAGAAGCAGAGAGCGTCGCCCACTCCAGAAAGAAAGGTCGACAGCGAGTTCAAGCGCAAAGAAATGTTGAAAGCAAGAGTCGTGACAATGTTTGACCATGACGGATTCACCTTGATCGAAAGTGCTGATGGAGTCGAAGGAGGACCACATTCCTACAATGGGCGGAAGCTTGTGGAAGCAGGCCCTAAGGATATGAGACAGGTGTATGAGTTTGTCGAGAAGGCATTTGTGCACTCCAGCTCCCTCACACCAAAGGCATGTCATCACTTCTACCCCCTACCAACACGGAGGGAGAAGGGATACAAGCCGATCGACCCCATGACGATGGTCGGGGAAGTTGAACTAGTACCGATCAACGGAGTCACTTTCGCTGCAACGAACTCCGACTACGGCAACCACAAGTATCCGACTCCAGACTGTCGAGTACCTGAGTACAGCCAAGCGAGCCAGGCCCTGAGTCGTCGATTGGGAGCGAAGTTGAGACATCGAATTGGACGTCAGTTCAGGACAGGAGGAAGACTCGCACCAATCAAATGCGATGAAGGTGCATGGGTGTCATGGGAAGACCTGCTAGGTGACAATACAGTTTGGGAAGACGGTTATCACTATGGCAACATAGATATTGTGACCAAGAAGGCACGTTTGGAGAAGTTCTTCGACCAGAACTATGAGTGTTTCCGCATTACCAAGAGGGTCAGATTCCAAATGTTGGCGGTCCGCGTCCATCCTGATGAACTCAATGAGCCTGATGACCCGATGGAGAAGGGATGGATCAACGAACTCAAAGACATGGGAATCTCCAAAGGAAGACTCCACCATAGCGATGGATGGTGCTTTCCCGTGGCTGTGAGAGCAACCTCGGCACATTCAACGGACGGCGGAGGTTATGACGTTACCATTGACATCGATCACATTGGATCGAGAATGACCAACGACATGGCCCTATCTATGGTGACTGCATTTCACGCAACCAATCTCGGAGCGCTGACTTCAATCATGCGACGAGGGCTGGTGCCGGGAGGTCTCGGTTCATCGGGAAGGGATTCTATTCACTTCACATGTTTTCCGCCATGGGCCTGGGAGCAGGGCTACAAGGGCAAACCTTGGCTGGGTCGCAAAGTCGCATTGAGTGATCGCCCAGTGGTTCTCTACATTCCGGTGTGGAAGCTGCAGGAGTACGGACTTCTCATTTCAGCGACTGGCTCTCTACTGGTTGAGAACGTCGTTCCCTTCGATGAGGTTAAAGGGGCATGGTTGCAATGCGACAATGCGGAACCCGGGCAGCATGAGAAGATCGAATGGATCCGGTTACTCAATGGAGAACCCGACCCTGGAAGCTACCTTGTTCTGGAGTCCAAATACGGAAACCCGATCATGATTCCACGCTTTCAAAAGCTTGAGAGCTTGGCGGTTGAGGTTCTGGATGATACCTACTCCGAGGACGACGCCAAAATCTCAAAGATGTTGGGTATGATCGAGGAGAGTGGTGTCTACCCAGAGCATAACAATACCGAGTGGCAGGAACTCTTCGAGGAGATCGTGTATCGCCGAGCGATGAAAGACTACGATTCAAGGCCGTGTCCCAACTGTCTTGGCGAAGTCGATGTGCGATTGACGATATGTCCACACTGCGTAGCAGTTTTGATCGCGAATGGGAAGCTCACACATGTGGTACCCAAGGAGACAAGGGACCGTAGTCAACGATCACCTCCGAAAGATGTACCAGCCAGTTCTTCCGGTGAAACAACCTCTGCTGCAGGTGCAAACATTGATGAAGTCATCAAGAAAGCACGCAAGACAGCCGAAGAGGTCATTGATATCGAGGAATCCGAAGGAGAGGAAGAGGAGGAAGTTCCTATCATTTTGAAGGAACGACCGGACGAAGCTGAAGGCGAACCTGAGTATCGGGAGGTCCCTCAAGATGGATACGGGAATGAACTTCCGAAGCCTTTCCCCTTCGCAATTGATGAACTGCCGCAAGAAGCTGCGATCCCCATCGACCACAACTTTGCCGTCACACAGCAATTTGACTTGAGGTTGATGAAGCTGATCAAAAGCTTGGCCAACGCAACATTCGACATCAACTGCTTCGAGAATCGGGAAGATGTACTACGAATGTTCGACGATGGACAGCGGCACGACACTCCGTACAACAGATGGCCGATAGTACCGAATGATCCGGATACTGGGTTTCCAAGACGTCTCCAGAGAGCCGAGGTCATAGGCATGAGCAGATGGACCAACGACACGTTTGCAGCAGAAGCGTGGCAGATCTATGAATTCCACGCCCACGTTGTTCATCCGATGATGATCACTGCAATCCGCTGCGGGCTCAGCCACAAGTACCTCAAAGAGGTCGGCAGCACTCAGCGTAGCATGAGTGATCCAAAGGCTCGAAAGTCTGAGACCCAGGACGAGATCATCGAGAAATTGGCATTCATCTCAAACTTCATCAGACGCTTGATCAAGAAGACCTTCGGAGCGAGCCGATATAGTTACTACCAGAAACCAGATGACGAAAGTGCCGCTCCATACAAATTCATCGACATTAGTCCTGCCATCAAGTCGGAGAGGAAGAATGTCACGAAGGAGATCCTCGTTGCATGCCGCTACTATGGCATAGAGGTATCCGATGTCCAGGAAAGGAAATTGAAGCTCTTCGAGGACCAGATCCGAGCGGGAAACCCAAGGAACGTTGAGCTCATCAAGGACTACATTGGCTTTGTCGGCGCTGACTACATGCGACAACTCACGAATGGTTGAGCATTGGGGTCATGCCGACATACCACTGCCGGTACTTCATGTACTGAGGGATCTCGGGTAATTCATGATGACCGTTTTGGCATCATGGGAGTGAGATAGGATTACGTATCACACCATTGGTAATCGCATGATACCATAGGTAGGTGCACGTTTTCCGCTTGTAGCTCCATTGCCTGTTTGATCCAAATTTCAAGCGAATGCAAGATATTTTGCTAATTCAGTTCAATAGGACATACTGGTTGACCTCCAATGCACTTTTGAGAACGTGGTTCGTTCTCCGGTCTTTACATCCACTCATCTCCCTTCCCCGTCGAAGTACGGATGTGGGGGGTGTCAATAGAGATGGGGTCCCAGTATAGTCGCTATACAGGTACATGCCATATACCTTTGGCTCAAGTGCCCAACCAGGTAAAAAGGAGCTTTAGCGCGCGAGCTTCATGTTGACCTAAGAGCTAGAACGGGGCCAGGGCACACCTTCCATCCGTTCGCATAGTATTTAGTATTACTATTAAATGGAAGCAATTGTTTTTGTTTTCTTTTTTCATTTTTGTTGAACATCTCGTTGAGACGAACGTCTCGCCAGGATATTGCTGAAGAAGCTGCGAGGCACTTTCAGTCTCCAGAGGTGAGATGACGATCTCGAAAGAGATGTCCAGACGAAGAGTTCTTCAGAAGTATATATACAGTATATATTTGTTTTCAATGAGATGTAGTGTTGTCTTGGTTTAATCTATAACTGTGAATCTATATATTTGTCAGAAGTAGTAGTAAGGATGCTCCTAGTACTACGGCCAGGAGCCCCTAGTAGCGTCCTTGCTCCT